AATTAAATATGGAAAAAAAACCCCATTGATTGCAGCCACATTACAATAATCATCTCAAGGAGTGCTGCATGTCAACTCAGCTCGTGTATGCAGTTCTAGTGTTAGACAGAAACTGCAGTGAAGCTGCAAAGGCAGCTTTAAAATATCACTGGATTTTTTGTGGATATAGAACTCAGGATAATGAGCACCTCCCTTCCTTATTGATGCTGGACTAATGATTAACTGTGGCTGCTTCACTATTTGGTAATTACAGTTATTTCAATCACAAGAACTTCTTAAACATGCAGCAAAATAAATAATGTTTTCCTACAGGTTGGCAGAAGTCTAACAGCTACAGCAAAGAGATTGGTAGGAGCCCAGTTCTTTTGGCACCACACAACTCCTAAAGAATTTCAACACTGTCTTTACTTGGTTATGTAGCAGGATGACAGCCATGTGTTTTCCTACAAAACACATGAAAAAGCTGCTAATAACACCAAAATTCAAAGAAATAAGCTACAGAGATGAACTAAGATGACCTTATTGGTCACCCAAATGTCCAGGTTTTTCTCCAGTATTGACATTCCTTCTCTGCTGATACAAGGATTAAAAATAAGAATGACACAAAACCTGTAGGATTATTTGTGCAATAAAACAACTCATACAGACTGTTCTAGATAGCAGTTAAAACACTCCCAAGAAAGCAAGCTAATGAAAGTGTCCAGAATGTAACATTCATGGATCCCTTTAAGTTCTGGCTCTGTTCATTCAGCATAAAAAATACGACTTGGAAAACATGAGGATTAAGAGTCTTCCATCAAGTATTCCGGTGGCAAAATTATAGAACACACACTATTCTACATATGTACTGGTGGACATTTTTCAATTTATTTCCTAGTGTTTTCAGTCAAACACAGCATCTCACAAATAACATATCTTCTATCAGGTTTCAAGCTAGAAATAAACCATAAAGGAAATACTTTCAGAACTTAACTCACAGACAGTAACTTAGGTCAAGTATCATGGTTTGGATACAAGTAATTTGTTGAACATAAATAAGGATTTGTACTACTTTTTAGATTGTGGCTTTAGTTGAAGATTTTTTAAGCTGAATTTGAAGTGCATCTTTACTTTCAGACTCCTTAAAAGTTTTCACATAAATATGGTAGTTGACATCAAATTTAGGTGTTATCTTCAGTTTCTGTCTCCTGTACTTGAAGAAGAGTGTTCATACAAAAATGAAGCACAGAAGTTCTTCAAAACAGATTACTTTCAAACAATGAAAAAATATTTTAAATATTTTCTGGATTCACTGTAGGCACAGACTGAGACATTATTTCTGATAACAACTTCTTTAACCTATTTAAACTATATAAAGGAAATTCTGAATAGGGGAGACTTATGACTCTGTGAATAATTTAATAGCAAACATTATGATGTATTATTTATGTAGCACCACTGATGCACAAAAGAAAGCTCACATACAGTAACGGGGTCCCTCCCTTGAAAGGCAGTTAAAGAACTGATGACATATTTCTTATCAAGGAGAACTTCCATTGAAATCAAACGAGTAAGGACTGCAGGATCATGCCATACTAGATCCTTGACACCACTAAAGGTAAAAGTCTGAAATTGAAACACTCAAAAAGGGGAAAATACATGCAAAGCTGCAGAATTTTGCATTTATTTTTTTGCAAAAGCAAAAAAATAGAAAGATAAAAGATTTAACTAATATGAACACATTCTGCATGTATGTTTGCCTGACTTGGCTGCACTGCACAGCTACACCTAATTTGCTACTCTACCCCTATACAAGGCCATAGTTTTCTACTATTTCTATATTCCAAATTATTAATGGGTAGTAATGAATATTAAATTGTTTGCTATGAACTTACACCTAAAATTTTGCCAGAATTATATTGAAGATTTTTTGGATCAATATGCTGTGGTATTTTTAAAGCAGCCAAACACAAAGCAGACACAGTAAGGTGTATTTATTCTTTGTGGATTTTTTTTGTGTCTTCATAACCTAGAGAGAGCCAGGCTCTCCTGAATTTTTCCAGGCATTTTATTTTTGGATAAGTGTCCTGCATGTTTTCTGATCTGCACTAAAAATGATTAGAGAGGTTTGATTGAGCAATCTAAGAGTTCAGCAGTCTTTAAAAAAAAGAGGGCACAAACCTAACATCAATCTGTTTGGTTTTTCATCATTGATGAAAAGGGCAGGACAAGGACATACACAAGACGAAAACATGAAACAGTGTATGCTTAATGAATATTATACAAAGTATTCTCTGTCCTTATGGAAGACAATGCTCTGTGTTCAAGTTCAGACTATTGTTTACTAGATTTCTAGTAGGTATTCACCTTAAGAAAATGCGTTCAAGAAATTGCATATTCAGAGCACACAAATGACCAGAATCCCCTCTGATTTGGAGAAGGCCTCAGGAAACAGACAGGCACACTAGAACTTCTGTGAAATTTCTGAACATTGTTATCTGAGCTGGACCTTCTGTGGACAACTTTTCCTTTTTTGTTTTATTTTTAATTATTAATGTCTGCTTCAGTTTAAGAATCTCTGCCTTAATCAATATGGTCCCAGTCCTAGTTCTGCACAGGACATCTTCGATCTGGATCTGTTTTTATACCAAGGTAAGTTCTCCCACTCTATCATACCAACATTTGATCTGTACTCCCAGAACCAAGTTGCCATCTTCTTTCTGGTAGCACTGGGCCCAAATAAATTTATTATATTTCCACCATATTTTTGCATTGTTAAGATAAAAATCAAACAAACTGATTTTGGGAATAAACGTGCACAATTAATGATATGAAGTGTAAAAACATAGGTGCATGAAAATCATCAAAACTTGCACTACAAATAGATTAGAGAGGCATATTGGAAGAAACAAACACAATTTTAAATCTAAAAACATGAGAATTGTTGCTGTTATCATATACCTGAATCAATGTAATAAATATGAAGATGGTGTGAGGGTGTAACTGGCCACCCGCCTGATCCATGGTTTCTGGAAGTAAAGGAGACAATTCTGCTGACTCAGGTTTGAATCAGTGCTGTAGCTGTTGGGGGTTTTTTGAAATTCATTATCAGTTCAGTGTATAGGTTAATTGATAATGTTCCTATGAAAATATGAAAGTTTTCAAGTGTGATTCCCAAATGCAACTACAGTAAGTAAACGCCTGAGAGGGAGCCTGCCTTAAGCAGAAAGTCTTGACAGTAAAAAGCACCATTACAGATGGCTGCATTGTAGTATTTGCTTTTCAAAGTCCACACGTGTGAGAGATTTTTTCAAATCTGCAGTGCTGTGCACACATGTGTCAAGAGACTAGAACAAACCTTGAAATTAAAAAAGGAAAAACATGTGCAAACAAATTACAGATTGAAACTTTGTTATAACATGAAAACACTAAACTTTTTCATATACTACTTTTATAACCCTTTAACATGTATAGAAGTTTTACTAAGGAAATCCAATGATTTTAACTATTAGAACACTTGCCTGACAGCTACTGTCTTCTCAAATCTGTACTTTTGTTTAACCCCAACTACTGTGGATTCTCATAATAAGGACTTCAAGGGCAAGCAAGTTATCATGACTGCTATAAATAGATACAAGAACAATCTTTCTGCCTATATGTACTATTATTTCCCACTGATGAATAAAAAAGAGTATGGACTTGCTACAGTGAAGCAATTGTTAGGGATATAAACCATTGTTTTTAATAAATGTGAATTACACCCTTCCTTGTGTGCTCTGGCATACCAGCAATCTCTCTCACTTTTCTGAGACCACTGCTAATAAAAGATTGAACAGAGCTGCATGGACAAGGCCTGTGGCCTGGAATCTGGAACTGCTGGTCAGCTGAAAGGGGAGGCTCTCATTTTGTTTCTCAAGCTCATGAACCTTTTCTTGTCAATGCACAATCCTTTCTTCCAGCTCCAGGCCTGACCCAGCCACTTGGGGCCGCCACCAACCTGTTCAGACTTTTTGTCATTAACAAGCTGTATTAACTTTGTGGTCATTCTGGGGAAAATAATAAAAAAGATGAAAAAGAATGTGAAAAGTCAGCATAAAAAGCACTCTGTTGAAAGGAACATAATCACTGTGAAGACTTCAGCATAGAACCTGAATAATAAATTTCAGGTTTTGATATAACTATTACTGCCTGTGAAGAACTCTTTGAAGATAATTGAAACCACTGTGCAGCAATCTGCTTTATAGCACTGACAAATAACAGTTTCCTAAGGCTTATCATTTAAGGTTAGTAAAGGGAGGACACATATTTACTCCATATGGTGCTTAAATGTAATTTTTAACGCATGACCTTATATAGGAACCTCTGCATGCTGTTAAGTAAAGTTACAGATTTGGGATGTGGTGGGACAAACTATAAAAGCTACAATTCCACAGAACATTCAACTATTGAAAGAATGCTAATAATATGCAAAGGTCCAATTATATACAATTTCTAGTATTTTGGGATTTAAATATATATTCCATGTCTAAAGTGGCTGTAATATATAGGTGGAGATATTTAAGAAGGTACTCTGGAAAAAAAGACTTAACAGCTCTCATTACCATACTCAATTTTATACTTGGCAAATATTTCCAGTGTGCTTTGGAGAAGGAACAGTTAGCTGCAGAATATAATTAGACACAGAGGGTATGGCTGTCATCTGTCTTTAGAAGGATACAAATTTTGCTTTTGGTATCTCAAGCATTGTACCTTTGATTTCCCTTCGTTCTGATAAACATTGGTAAGCTAGAACAAAAGGCAGTGAGGGCACATGGGGGTGATGTAACATGCATGAACACAAAACATACCCAGAAGTGAATGCAAAAAACTTGGCATATAAAGAAAGAAAAGGTGGCTTTGATGAGAGAGACAAGTTCAAGACTTTACAAAGTCGGTTGCACATCTTTGAGACCTGTATCCAGTTTACAGGAAATCTATTTTTGAAGGCCCAGAAAGAAAACTGAAAATAAGGACACACTTCATTTGTTTAAAGGGACTTGTTTTATTTTTTGTATACTTGTGGACAGAAGCTTCTACTTAAAAGAACAAAAGTGAAACAAAAAAAAAAATCCCTAATAACTTCAGGATGTCACAGAAAGTTACTTGCCTGTAAGCAGGTTTTTTGTTTACATGGAGGTTTTTCAATGTTCTTCTACCGCAAATTCATTCCAAACTTCTAGTTAAAAGGGTTTTGGCAAGGAATGCTGGAAAAGAAATTCAACTTGAGGAGTTAAGTTTTTTCTCTAGCAAACACTGTATTTTTTATTTTCTGTGCCATAAAGTATTAATTCGGGTATTCCAATTTGAACATTCTGTGTAATGCTACCTAAGTGGATGATGAATGCATTTGGTAAGCCACCTAACAGAAACACAGGAAATCCCTTTGGAATAAGCAAACAATTCATTTGTTCCACCATCTTGGATTTGACAACAGCCTGACAGAAAAGATGGAAGTTATGTCATGCTGGTCAATTTGTTCCTGACTCACTGAATACTGAGTCAGAAGGAAAGAATTCCTTGGACTTAATTATGAAACAGTCCCATCTACAGAAGCAGTGTTTTCAGCTGCCCTTTTATGAATCTGTTAGCTTCTGACTACACCTTGTTTGGATGCAGCATGACTTTATCAAGCACAGAGTCACAGTGCATTTGGATTAATTAGCCCTCCTGCAAGGCAGTAATACCATGAACAGCTCTGCTGAGCCCACACTGGTTTGCCAGCACAGCACTAAGTTTAATAGATAGGGGTGGAATCTCACTGTACACAAAATTTTGATTCTAGAATGAAATTGCTGATGAATCATTAGGCTTCTATAGCCTCTTCTACAGTTCCCAGAACACTCTCACAGCATAGCTCTGAACAAAAGGAACCAGCTCCAAAGTGACAGACAGCACTGTAGCTCTGGGCATGGAGATCTAATACAGACCACCACAAAGACATACATACACAGACATAACCAGAAATTCAAAATAATTCATTCCAAAGAGTGATTTTTGCTACTGCTTTAAAAAGTGCTCTGAGAGAAATCAGCATTTTTAATTTGTTGATTTTTTTAAAATATTACTGTAAGTTAAAATAAAAGTATTAACCCCCATACCTTTTAGCTTTCTCCTCTTGCTCATTTGCATGCTGCTTGAGTAAGATGTGATCATCATGTACATGAAGAAATCTCTCCTCCAGTTCTTCTTGACTGATTTGTTACCTCACTTGTTGAGCTTTTATATTCTGTGCGGTTCATGATTCTACCCAAACCAACACAACTTTAAATTACCTTCAATACCTTCAACAACATGTAGCTCAAAGTCAAAACTCATTTTGAAATACTGAATCCCCTCCAACTTTTCAAGTAATTTTATATTTTACACTTGTACACGTCTGGTTTTTTTTTTTTTTTTTGTTTTTTTTTTTTTTTTAATTTATAGTAATTTTAACCACTTCCTTTTTCCTTCCTCTTACAGATTAAAAAAAAAGTAATTAAATTTTAATCACTTCCTTTTTCCTTCCTCTTACAGATTAAAAAAAAAAGTAATTAAAATTATACAGCAACATGTTTTCATACTAGACAACACAAAGGTAACAATTTACCAAGTAACCAGGTTCTGCCAAAGATACTATCTCAAAATAAGTATTACCATTCTTTCTAATCTGTTCCAAAACGAAACTATTATATTGAATCTTGAAAATATTAATTCATAATTCTGTAAATTTACTCAGATACAAGACTAAGCCCAGTTGTTCCATTCTAATAGCAGCTGAGTAATATAGCAGAAATGCATAATACTTTTGGTTCCCATTTTGTGAAATGGATCTGGCTTTCTCCTCAATTCAGCAAAAAAATCCTCTTTTCTTCTGGATGTATGAATGTTACAGCTCAATGACATTTTCAGTTTTTAGCATCTCACAGCAACTCTGCTCTTATAACAAGCAACTTGAACATAGAATGGGTCACAGCATCTTTCACAATTTAACCCAGATTTTGAATGGTATTTGAACTTAATTTTGTGAGTGGCAACATCAGAAACATTTTTAGAAAGAAACTAAAGAAGCCACTGATCAAAGTCTGTAGCTTTAATAAATAGCAGCTGGTACAAACCTTGTAATCCTTCAATTCCAGCTGGAGTTAGACCTGTATGTCTCACAGGCAGGTCCCCCACAGTTACATAGCTGCAACAGGCATGGCTTATCTAGGGATAACAAAATTCAAATGAAATTCCTCTTCATCTGTTATTTAAACTCAGACTAGAACAAACAATACACCATATGAAATGATGGCAAACGTTATGGCAGATTCACTGAAATGACAGCCTTCTGAATGCTCCTGTCTCAACTAGATTGCTCAGAGGACTATCTAAACTCTGAAGTTCTCAAGTTTAATTTTATGCCAGTTTTAATCCATTCACAAGATACACCTTTGTTGTGCAATAGCTCCAATTCTATTTAACACATGTACAAATAGCTTTCTGAAGTTCTAGTTCTGCTGTTTTCAGGAATCTGTAGGCTAAGGCCATATTTCCAAGTGGATGTGGGAAGGGGACCTGCAGGTTGTTTGTTTAATTGCGGTTTTTGGGGTTTTTTGAAATTGTTTGTTCATTTTAAGAGAAGTAAAAGCTTAAGGCCTCCAATGGTAGATGAGCAATGTCATCTTCCATGTTTTGAATGGAACTCTTTGAAACAGGTGCTGGGGGTTATGAAGTCATTTCAGTGTTGCCTGGCATTCTCTTTTAATCTTCTTTCAATTACTGTCATATAAGAAATTACTTTTTAAGACAGAAATTCTCCTATGAATGATTCTCATAAATCTGAACATGACTCTATCTTGCAGCATCAGAAAGCTTAGCTACATGACATAGTGAGACTAGGAAAGTATTAATGTGAAGAAGTACTACATTTGTTTTGGTGTAATATATGAACATACTTGTTAAAAATTGCTGTTTCCTTCTTGTCTTCTGGTGCAGAAAATTACATGTTGGTCACTGCGTCAAGTAATGCTGAAACAACAGGAAATGGAGAGACTTGAAGTGCTTTTGACAGTCTTACACCCAAAACCATTGTTACACTCTCCAGGTGATATAAATCCTTAGTCAATTCAAAACTATTTAGGAAAGCACTGGGAAATTAACAGTGATGCTACTAGAGACTTGAATCAGAGGGCAGAAGCAACATGGAACAATCAACAGACATTCCATTAAATATCTCTTAATTCAATCATAATCAAAAGTGCTGCCTAAGCTTTTTCTTCCATCATAAATAACTCTCCTTATGGCTTTGTTCTAAAGAAACAAAAGGGATTAATGGAAATTTAGTTTCCAACAAGTCAGTTTTGCTTTTAATCTTTTGTTTTTTTCATCACTAAAATTTATGATAAAATATTATTTCCAGACTTCACTGTTTATGAATAAACAGGAACACATTTTTCTTCCATGTGGAACCAATGTTTCCTTATCATGACCATAGAAGTAAAGTGATCTACAGCTGTAGACTTGCAATATGGTTGCAGTTTCAATGTTGTCAGTGACAGATACTACTCTGGGATGTTGATGTCCACACCACTCAGCTGATGGCACAACTGGCAACCAATGCAAACACATATCCACTGGAATGCAGCATCCTTGGCTCTTTTTGCATTGCTCTTACAAAATCCTCCAAACTTCTTTGTAATGTGTTAAATTAGCTCTATCTGCAGTCATTGGCTTCACTCAGGTCTAGGCTCATTACTGTGGTTACTGTTACATGTCCCTGTACCAGTATGGCTACAGCAACTGAGATCAAAGGGAAACAGACATTTTATCTCCAGAGGATCAGTTAAATTTGGTTCATGATGGTAGCAAGGAGAAGATGCTACCCCAGTACATCTTTCTAGAATGTGGCTGTCCTTGCTTTCACAGATCAAAAATGACAGAGGCTTTTTCTGGGCATCAAGAGCTGAACAAGTATTTTATCAGCACGTCTCCACAATGTTTGTGATCTATGAAAATCAGGCTTTAAAAACTCCAGAACAGTGACAGGCAGACAAACATTACTGGTTTTCACTATATGCTGAAGAAACTTTACTACGGATATCTACCTGTTATCTTCAGTATGAGAGAAATCTACTCATTTAAAAACAGAGACAAAACAACACATGCTTGTCACTCAAATAAACAAACAACTCTTGTCAGAAGTAATCGATTACTGGCTGCAGCAAAACCACAGAAATACTTGAGCTGTAAGCAAACTAACACAGCTGAGATGCACACAAAGCCAATTATTCCTGGCAACATGACATGATTTGAAGTGTCAAAATAAAGCAACTTCAAATCTAAAGTGTCCTGAAAACTTAGAAGGTCAAATTTTCAAAAGGAAGAGGAAGAACTGTTTCATTTCCATTACAAAGTGTCAGAAATTAAGCATTCAGCTATCTTTTCTGTCGTGGGCCACAGAAAAAGAAAATGAAAAAAACCAACCATATTAATTGGTTTTATCAGATACAGTGGTTTTAGACAGAAATAGTACAAACATGCCTCCTGGTTTAAGGGAGGCCAAATATAATTACAGATTTAGAATTTGGCTTGGCAAGTTATTTGCCTGATTAGTAACATACCCATGTCTTTAATAATCACTAATAACCACCAGTTATGCTGCTGCTTTGAGAGAGGACACTTCAAACATCAAAGCATGTGTTACATATGTTACAGTTCCTCTTGGAATATTATCTGAGTGTCAATCACAAACACTTAAACAAAATTACTTTTCTTTGCAGTCCAGTTCCAGCATAACTTCTAAAAGCATATGAGATTTCTCCACAGCATTCTGTATTACTTTTGAAAGCATTTCCAAAGTGATTACATCTGACAAAACTGTACAGCAACACTGCAACAAAAATTATGGTACTTAAAAGTGCAGCATTTCCTAAAAGAAAGCATAACAAAGTGAAAGAGATATAAATTTGTATTTGCATCTGGACAGATCCACATGCCATCCTCAGCCTCAAAAACTAAAACCAGGCTTTATTTCCAAGAAAGGATACCCTACAATCACTTCAGCACAGATTGTTTCTCAAAACTACAGAGCTCAATGTACAAAGAGAGGAATATTCCCCATATCTCTGGGATTAACCTGTAAGAACTTCAAGTTAGGTATAAGCAAGAATTTTCAATATAACTACTAAAGTTAAAGAAACTGTAACTCTCTTACACACTTCACTACCTACAAAACTGGTTCTATCACTACATATATCCAAAAATTTACTACAAAAAACTGCACACAACTTTGCACTGCTATACAAGCCTGACACTAATAAAATTAATACTTATCAAAGCTCATGCAGATTCCTATATAACTCACAGAAGTGTACTTTTGTACCAACATCATTCAAAGGTAGAAAAACTGAGTGGGGATTACTTCATTTTTTGAAAGTTATCAGCCAATGGGTCTGTAAGTGACTTCCAGTGAGGTGGCTTCTAGCAAAATCATAAGAATTACAACTTAATTGTTTCAACATGTTTTTTTGAATTTGAGTGTCAGACAAGGCCAAGATGATCCTTTTGTTAAAAAATCTCACTTCCCTGGTAGAGGGAATTTAAAAAAGGAGGTGGGAGGGACCACCCACCTATCTTAGCTTATCATAATGTATTTCCAGCCTATGTTCTCTCTCTACTGAGCCTTTGAAACATACATGTTTGCACTTTATTGGTCTTGTAACCTAAAATAATCTCATTTATTATTTGGTAGAAATACACACACATACCATCCTTCAAATATCATGTGTTGCAGTGCTGTGTGTTTTAGGAGGCAGACAGGGAAAAAAAGAGGGAAGATACGGAAGACGTTAGGAAATGGGATCACAACATCCCACTGTTGCCTGAGGGAAGAAACATCTCTCAGACCTGTAAGTCCTACTTCAACACAGAAACAATCCAAACAACCGTGTCTTGCCTTCAACATATTTTACAAAGCTTCCCGATTTTGATCCAGCCGCGCCAGTTCGGCGGAGACTGACGGGGCTGGAAGGGGCAGGGTCGCAGGGAAGGCAGCGTTTGCCTCATGAGGGAACGCCTACACCGCCCGGGCTGTCCCGCCCTCGGGCACGGGAGCTCCGCTCCCGCTTCAGCCCAGCAGCCTTTCCCGGTACAAAACACAGGCCTACAGGGCTATTTTGAACCAAACGCTGAGGCTCCCAGCCTTTTCCCACGGGCACCGAGCGAGGAGCCTCTCGGGTCTGGAACCGCCGCCCTCAGCGCGGGTCCCGCCAGCTCCGCTCCTCGCCTGCCCGCCCGGGGACCGCCCGCTCCAGGACACGGCGCCAGAGCCCCGGGCAGCTCCAGCGCCCCGGTCCTCCCCACGCCGTGCCCAGAGGAGGAGAAGCTCCCCCCGTACCGCCAGCCCCGGGTTCCTCAGCACTCCGTTAGCCGCTGCCGCTCTTGCCAAACGGGCCCTTCCCCTTCCGGGCCGCCCTGGGCCTGCCGGGACTTGGAGTTCGGGGCGGGGCCGCGCAAAACCCGCGGAGCGGCTGCTGCCGGCGGAGCTGCGCGGGGCTCCCGCGGTGTATTGCTCCGCTCCGTAGGGACGGCTAAGGCGGCACCATGAAGAGGAGAGCAGGGGAGCGGGAGAAAGAACTGAAGGTACCTTCCGTTTGCTTCCTGCTCCCCGCAGCCCCGAGGAGTGTGTGTGCCCATGGCCAGCCCTCTCCGCCGCTGTGCAGGGCAGAGCCCGCCGGGGCTCTGGTAGCTCCAGTGCTGGAGCCCCGAGCTCGGGGACCCCGAGGCCGCCGTGAAGTTCATTGTGAGAAGGAAGGAGCCCCGGCCCCGAGCTCGGCGCGGTGACGGAGCCGGGGGCGAGCTCCGCACGGCCGCGTGTGCCCAGCACCGCCCCGCCGGGCTGCCGGGCAGGGGGCTCTGCTTGACCTGGAAATGTCCGATCCCCCCTCCCCTGAACGAGGGGCATCTCCTACAGCGTTAACAGGAGCTAGTGGTAAAGGCGTGTGCCGCCTGGGCGAGATATTTCAGTTTTAAAGAGCTCTGTGGTATAGGAAAAAAATGATGCAAGGACTGTGTGTTTGTTTGTGTCGACACATTCACAGTGAGATGGTCTAATTGCGTCTAATTCTTAAATTTAAAAGTACTCTACACTAAGTCTCACCTAAATAAATATTTTTAAGTCTCCTATACTGCCCGAGCTTTATAATGTTTCTTTTCTTCACGTGTTTAGATGCAGCGCTGTTACATTCTTACATTGGAGATGCTTATTTCACTAGTCTGTGTCAGCAAACAGGAGTGCTGAATGTTTGCTGTTTCAGGTGCCTTTCAAGGGCTTGTTTTACTACATTGTACAATATTTTACTTCAGCTCTTGATGGCTGTTGTACTTCTGCTGGTTTTGTTTACAAAACAGTAGTACTGAGAACCAGTAAGTGACTTGTTTGAAAGCACGGTACTGACATTAGAGGTGTTAGTGAAAAGAAGGCTAATTCCATTATAAATTTAGAAAATGCCTTTGAAAAGGCTAATCTCATACACCTGAACAGCTGGCTTTGGTATTGCTAATAATTTACTATTCAGTATTAAATATACTATTCCCCGCAAAGGCAGGGAAAAGGTCTGATGTAAGTTTGCAACTAAGTATTTTACTAGAAAACTCAAGGCCTCTTTGCCCTAGTAAGTTTCATAACAACTCCTTAAGGACTACCTGGTCATTTTGTAATTTGTCTTTCTGCTATCCTAAGTTGTTTGGGGACAGCAATTTCAGTGTTACATTTGTGTTCTGCCCTTTCCATCTATGTCAAAACATATGCAGATGTCCCACCCAATACGATGCAGAAAAAAATTCAACCCATACTTTTCTTAGCCTGTACATTTGTGTTGTCCATCCAAGGGCCTTTGTCTTGTTAATAGGTCTTGAATGTATTCGGGAATCATTTGCATTAGGAGAATAGAGGCCCTTGATAAGATAATAGCTCAGGGATACCTGTGAGGGGTGAAAGGATGGTGCTGTGAACCACATTGGCAAAGGCTGTGGGAGGAAAGGCACTTGAAGAGCTGTCAGGAACAATGTATGAGAAGAACTTGACCTCAAGTGCAAGAGTACTGCTATAGACACAACTTGATGTTGTAGGTGCACAGACAGAGAAGGATGAAAGAGAAAAGATTCTTACAGAGAATTTAAAGGTTTCAATACTTATATAATGCCTTACAGAGATGTGGTAAACTGGGTACTATTTGAGAGAAGGTGAGTGTATTGAAAGTGAAGCAAAAATGAGCCTGTAGAATGTCTTGGAATAAAGCTTGCCAAAGGAGAAAGCAGCAATGGGAAAAGGAGGGGATAAGCTAGAAGGAGAATAAGCGGGTTGTTTCCCATGGAAGCATCCTCATACTGATAATTTTCTACAACTCAATTGGAATTTAATCTCTGGGCTCCTGGCAGTGTGCCAAGTCACCCTTCAATCCTTAGGTTTAGCCATCCCTAGTTTATGTTGGTCACCTGAGAAATTCTGAAGACAAAGGAACAGTGTCTTTATTGTGGTAGTTCTGCCAAGAATTCCATTTAAGAATGGGTTAAAATATTTTTTCGCAAACTGAATATTAGTGAGGTTAACCCAACCTCTTCTAGAGACTAAGATTTATGAGGCCTACTACTGAGAGGGAAGTGGTTGGGTAAAGAAGCTGGTTTGGATTATGTCTTCTGGCAATGACTCTTGTTTTCCAGAATTAAATCCTGAATAAAAGTTCTTGTTTTGCTATAATTGTGTACAGTTAAATGCTGTCTATCAGAATCCCACTGATTGGCTTTTTCTTTGTAATTATATAGTATGTTTCTTATAAGTGATAAAGTTTTTTCTGGCTCGAATTTTCTTGTACATAGCAAGTTTTGATTTCTGCTGTTATAGAAGAACATTTCTGTTCCAAGTACATGTGGTAGAAGTTCTGTACAGTGCAGTGCTGTCATACAGCAATTTCCACTTTGCAGATCACTCAGATGGGTTGAGTAAGATGAAATGTGTAGCAGAAATGCAATTGTTTGTGCTAGTATTTGGTGTTCCGAGTCAAGAGGAGGAAGATGCAAATTCATTCTTGGGAAGAGGGTCTGAAAGAAAAATAGGAAAACATAGTCAGAAGTTAATTGCTCATCTGTTCTAAATACCATAATGGGGCATTGCTAATGTCCTGTAGAATATTTCTCTCAGTCTTAAGTGGACAGCAAAAGACAGCTATTCTGAAGTTTCTAAAGATACCTTTGAAGCTGTTGCAAGCCATCAGCTACTCTGGTCTTCCCCATAGCAAATATTACTTCTGTGCATAAAACCAGAACTGTTAGAGTAGATGTTGCTCATTAGCTGAAAAGGCATTTTTATGAAAGAGTCTGTTGAGGGGTTGTTCATGCTTGTTTGTTTTAGCTTAGAATAATACAGTTTATAGTTATTTTGATTCTGTTGTCTTCACCCTGTTGGTCAGAATTGGTCTCTTCTTTTTCATTGGGTGTAGAAATGTACTATGCAAAGTAAAATCAAACAGATTTCCTATTGGGTGATCTAAGTAAGCTATTTACTCCTTATAGACTTGGGAAGAAAACTTGTTGCTTTTAGAATGTTTATTATCTTGATTGATGAGTTTAAAAAGTTATTATTTAATGTAAGACAATGTTCTTGAGACTTGTTTATTCAAAGTGGATTTTTTAAAGTAAGTTTCAGTATGAGAGAGGCCAAGTTCTAGTTATTTCCTGTATATGCTTCCTCTACCACTCTTTGCATGTTAACACCCTGTGCCATTACCAGGTGAAAGAGAATATACTCAGCTAGTGTGGAGTATTATTTTCTTTTAAAGTAAAGGTATTACCTTGATGGGTCTTTGGAATAGACCATTAAACCCAGTTCACAATTACCTTATGTAGCTGTTTATGCTAATTCACATTACTGTGAATGCTGACTGCAAAGAATGTATTCCACAGACACTACTGTTATGTTTGTACAGCTCCCAGCACAGCTGGGACCCCAGTCCAATAAATTTATTGCTGTACAAATAATAAATGCATCAATGTGCACATATCTGAATATTCACAGGGGCTTTTACAAAGATATTCATATGCAGTATCACATTTGTGAGGCATGTTGGACAAAGTGGCAAGGAAATATAAAGCTTTAAATAACACACAGCTTTGTATGTATTTTATTTACAAGGAGAAAAAGGGAATATACTGAGTTTCAGCTGAGATATCATTGAAGGTCTTATTTCCTGTATCATCCTCATTTTTGCTGCCTGCAAAATAATATATCTTCACAAGGTAAAACAGGTTGCTTCAACATATTAACGCTCAAGGAAAACTAGACAAGTATTCTCAAAGCACTTCAGTGCATGATTAAGGGTTTGGTTTTAGAATTAATGCTGAAAGATGGTGCCCATACCATACAATGACGTTTAAAAACTTTAACATTGTTACCATGTTTTTTTCTAATGTTACAATGATTTATTGTTTCCAGTTATTGTTCTACCTCTTAAGACAAAAAACATTATTAAAAAGAGCCAAAAGAAACAAAATTTTCTAATTGACAGATTAGATTCTTTTAGAAATTGTATTTAGGAAAATTAATGAAACAGCTTAGATGCAGTTAAATAAGCTTCTTGTCATGTCATATTTCTGCTTAGGTAAATGGTGTGCAAGTTTTAGCAGAATCAGCAACCAATATGCCAGTAGCAATTTTTGTGGTAATCACATTATTGGACCTTCCCATTATTAATGGGACAATAATTAAGAAATAGTGTTGATAGTCACATAACACATGATTTGTATATTGGAAATGGTCAGGTAGAAGCCTTGCATATGCAGAATAAAATACAAGAAAGAATGAGTGGCGAATGTTTCTTGCTTTTAAATTCATCACATTCCTGCTGTTTAAATTGCCTCAGCTGCTAATGCTGGAACCATTACAGTAATGGACTCGGCAAATGAAGGAGAACCGAGACACACACTTTATTACTGGAGGGGTAATTTTCTCTTCATCTGTAATAGCAGCAGTGCCTAGTATTGATCAGACCATCAAGATACTAATCCTCTGTAAAATTACTTGTTATAACTGAAAATGTGTTAATCCAAATCAGTCTGTGTCCTGACTTTCTACTTACTATTGAATACAGACTATTAGATAGTTTATTTTTTGTGATTTAAAGCCTTTACATTGATAACAGTCAGAGCTTCCTTTGCAAGAGAATGTGCTTAATCTTAGCTATGGCCCAGGGTTGTCTTTTTTGTTTTAACTAGAACATCACCCACTTAATTAAGAAGTGCATGTCTATCTTCCTGCTTGGAATTATATTGGTACTTTAGGCTCTGCAGATTTATTAAACGTTGTTTTACATTCAGTCACTTGCTTTTTGCTGTAAATAAGGACAAATCTATGCTTCACATATTGGAACCTATGAAGATCTTGGAGCTAAGGATGTGAGGAGAACTGCTCAAAATGCAAAATTTGGATTTTGTGAATGGTGGCCTGGGAGGCTCTTGTGGATGGGAATAGTGAAAGGGAAGTTCAATGCCAGGGATATAAAGGTCTTCAGTTTACTTTTGTCCTGGTGGTCCACTGCATGAGACAGTCATATGGTGAGCTGTGCACGTCTCTGTTCTGAATACGGGAA